CAAAACGACCAATATATTCCAAAATCTCAAGACGTCCATTTTGAGCCTTTCCTCCGTTACCGATGGATGGATTAGTTAGGCATCGTGTACCCCTAGCCACATGTTAGTGGTGTGCGACGGTTAAGATCGTCCAGCTGTCTGGTATTATCGACGTAGGCTCTATGTGGCTAGTTAGTTAGGTATCGTATACCCCTGGCCGCATGTTAGTGGTGTGCGTCGGTTAAGATCGATGAACCCGGAGGACTTTCTACCATATTTCGGAACCTATAATGATAAACTCTGTAATTTACCAGTCAACGTGCACGATGTTTAGCAAATAATTAGGTGCACCACTGGCAACAAAGAATCATCGGCCAAAATTTGTTTGCACGAATGCGCCTGCGCATAAGTTGCATCTCCAAAGGCCATTTAGATTCTAGAATGTTGAGAAATTCCGGTCCGGTAGAAAAATACCTGAAAGGTACGTTCGTTGTATGTGAGTCAACCTTTTCCACAATTCGCGATTTTTTTCATCTGTTATTCAAAGTCATTGTGCGAATAGCCAGCGGCTTGTGCGAACACTGAGCACCCAGATGCAGAGATCTCCGCGGCAGATAATGCACGATTTTCGGGTGTCTGCAAGCAAAATAACCACACGGCGATATCTTTCTCATAAGAAATAATGATGCTTCTTGACTAGAATACCCTACAATGCGCAACAGAATGGCCGAAAATTAATGCCTTTCATAATAATAATCGTGAGCCTTGAAGTTTACCTGGACTACTCATAGTAAATGGTACGGCTCTTACCCAAGTGTCCCCCTGAGTATGAGCTCCAAACATGCATGAACCTATTTTGGTGGACAACAGCGCCACACGTATGAATTGTCGCTCACCTCCGATACTTATTTTAACTACTGAGCCCGTGTTCATTAGAGTTATGAGGCCCAAAAAATGCATGGTAGCCCAATCCATCGACCAGCGACGGCCCTTTACCATCATTCGTTTTCACTTCGCAGCAACTGCACTTGAAAATTATGAAACCACCATTGGCAAACTTTTTTACTAACTAATACATTGGGGTAACCCGTTTTCCGTATTCCGAGTTCAACTAAAATGAAAATGGATACTCCGCTTATTGTCGTTTATTGCCTGCGTAAATTTCTAAGACATTTAACTTTTACAAAAGCAAACTTTCTCGTTGCCCATTTAATTCCATGGTCGCTAGTGAAGGATCTATTTGTACACTGATATTGCGACGTCAAGACGCAGCGAAGTTAAAGATAAAGAGAACTACATGGTCATTTAACTTTCTACGACGAATTTCTTGGCTTTTTCTGGTGTGACGCTTGCTGCGGCACTAATCACGAACGGCTGCTCAACTATCAGTTCGCCTGGACAAAGACAACATACTTATTGCTTATGCATTCTTTTACAATATTTTCAAGCTTCACAAAGGAGAAAACTCACGAAGAAGCTTACTTCTCCAGAAAATCCCATCCTGTCTACACAGGAAAAATGCTGAGGAAAATGCAGTCAGTTACAATATAAATTCTGTGCCCAAACTTTCGTAAAACGGCCACGAGTAATTCCTCCAAAAGTTGGAACTTAATGATAAAGTTTCTTTGATTCAATCGATGGTCTCGAAGAAATTCGGGAGCACGTCCAAGGATCCGCGTTCGATTCTGCTGTCAGAATATCGGGGGGTGTGGGGAATTGCTGAAAGTTTCAGGCGGGGTAATCTGGTACGCACGTGAAATTATCAGCCTACCGGATGTAATCCATTGGGCTGTGATGTAAATCTTTCACTGCGTGCAATCACACTGTGACGGATTAGGCACAAAAGAAACTGTCTTTATATCCCGCCTTTATAAACTTTATAACTCGACTTTCGATGCGAGTTTTGTGACAGAGGGAGGTGTACAGAGTTCCACGCCATGAAAACACGGGTGCAGTTTTTCTACAGTCAAAAAATGGGGCGTAAAATTTTCCATAATCTTATTAGCTGGATTTTTCTGTTGTGCCCTCGCGCCCTATTTCGACGTGCAACTAAAAACCAAGGAAAGATGTAAGCCTGGTGGAATGCAAGTAAATTGCCACATTAGAGGTACACATGCATGGTGTCTCACGGTACAGAAGAAAAAAGTCCCTCGGTAAAATGTAACTAAGGAATTTTCGGACACAAATATAAAAGCTTGAAATATATGCTTTTGGACTGGCTGATGAAGTGGCTCTCATTCTTTTATCTTTTACTGGGTTTGACGATTGTAATGAATATCATATTTCAATTGCCGTTTCGCGACACATGTACTTTGTTCATATTCACACAACTCTCGTTTGAGCGGTCGCCCTTCTGTTCTGACGTAATTATTCTACTGAGCCCACCCAAAGCATTGAGCTTGATTTTTGCTCTTATTAGAGCCCATCATCAGTGCATACCCAATAACTGCGGGGATTTGAACCCTGGACATCTGACATGCGACCAACATGCGTCGGTAAGGTAGTGATAGCACACTTACCTCGCATGGGGTAAGTCCGGAGTTCAAGTCCGGTGCGACCAACGTGCGTTGGTGAGGTAGTGGTAGCACACTTACCTCGCATGAGGTAAGTCCGGAGTTCAAATCCAGGCACGGTCATTATATGTGCACTGCTGATGAACCCTAATAAGAGCGAAACTCGAGTCATGCGCTTCCCTTCAGCATGAACTCACTAGAATAATTTTGCCAGAGCAAGAGGACGACCGTTATAACGAGAGTATTGTGAATATAAACAAAGCCGCAGATTACTTATTATTTCATTCCCAAACGCAAAACTTTGATTACAGTTGTTGAGCGGAACAGTTTTGTGTTCCTCGAAGCCCGGTTGTTGTTGCGGTGTCTTGCTGAGTATTGACTATTGGGCCCAACGTGCTTGTGGAACCAATCAT